AAACGGGATTTAGGGTTTAGGGTTTTAGGGTTTAGGGTGTAGGGTTTAGGTTTAGGGTGTAGGGTTTAGGGTTCAGGGTTTAGGGTTTAGGGTTTAGGGTGTAGGGTTTAGGGTTTAGGGTTTAGGGTGGCTAAGAAGTCGGAGATTGCTCGAAATGACGCTTGGTTCCCTACAGAACCTCAACTTACTGGTAGCCAAGTACTTAGGGGATAAGGGAATACATTAGTATATAGGGGCTATATAAGCCTTTGTCTACACTCCTAGTATCCCCCTGAATAACCCCTATAGAGGTCCCCTATATAATCCCGTACATGACCCCCTTTAGAAAGTGTATGTAGCCTATGGCTCATATAAGGATTTTATTCCCTTTTTCCATACTAACCACCAGTAAATCAAACTAGGGGCCTCCTATATCTGTATATATATATATATAGAATAGTTTTATTTTCTTTTCCATTATCCCAACATGACACCAACATAGCCCCAATATAACCCTAATGTTGCCAAAATGTAAGAAGGACTGAAAATTTCAGAAGGGCCGCTCCGTCTTCAGCAAGCGGGCTAGGGGGAGAGGATTTTAGGGCTTAGGGTTTATAGAGTTTAGAGCTGGGGAGGGGGCAGTGAGGACCCCAATATATTACCATCCTTGCTACAGCTTACCCTAAACCCTAAACCCTAACCCTAAACCCCACAACTCTAAAGCCTAAACCCACAAAGCATTTTAGAACCCGATATATTCTAATCCGTCAGACAAAGACTCCCCATAAGAGGCCCCGAATCGTTGGAAACCTCCAAATATGTAGAAATATTAGGGGTATATTGGGGTTATATAGGGATAATGGAAAAGAAAATGGAAACCAATTTAATGGGATATATAGGGTTCAGGGTTTGGGGTTACCTTTCTGGGTACCCTAAATATTAGGTGCCGTATTATAATAGGGATCCAAAAAGGGACCATAATTTTGACAACCACCCATATGTAGAACAAGGTTAGAGATGCATATGCTTCCAGACCTGTTAGAAGGCGGGAAGATACTGTTTCTAAGTATTCGGGCGTCCACGCGATTCCACTCTGACCCCGCCTACTGGCAGATTTATAAACAAACATCCAGAACCCGAAGCTAGGCAGACTTGCGATTATCGACCACATAAATCAACATTTAAGGTGAATTCGGTTGAGGTCGTTATACAATTCGATAATCCCCTCCCCTACCCTGGTTGGGAGCACACACCAGAAAAAGTATAGACTTTTTAGGTATAAGTCGTTATAATAGGAACCCAGAAACCAAGAAAGTTTTAGAGTGTAGTACTCCAATATTAGGCCTAATCCTGTGAGTCCCCACACGACTTAGGGCTTAGCCTTCCACAAATCGCATCGTAATGCTACCCAGATATATAAGTACAAAAAGAAATGAGGGAAACTTCAGCTAGAAGTTTGATGAAAGACTTTAAGGAATCACGTTCCACCACCTCCTCAGTCTCCTCACAAAGCCCCGTAAAATCAGCAGCAAAACCAGCGATGTCATCGAATGAGCTAATATTTTTGTCCTTTGTCATGCGCAAGCTTGTGCAATCTCGGCACACATGTCCCAACTCGACTCGTGCCACGTTGAGAAGGTTTGTTCTTGCGGTGGATACTAAACATGCGCATGACCCAACGTACGTTGTACCTTGTGAATTATGGTACTATAGCGTACTAAAGTCAGGCCAGGCGTGGACAGGAGGAGACTTGAAAACCAGAGCCAAGACACTGCCACCGTTCCACCAAGAAGACTCGACCTGTCCAAGCTTGCTGTGTGCGTGGGAGGGGTGAGGTTCTACTGATTAGGTTTGAGGGGTGCTTTTGAAATCTAAGCTGCGAACTGCTCAGGGTTCAGGATTAAGGGCATGGTGGCTTGTCCAAAAAAGTCCACTTGACTTGAAATTCCTCACTACACCTACAATAAAACCCTTGAAAGAAAGAATTCTTTCTCTGCATCTCCAGAAAAGCACCCCTCGGAAAGCCCGACAAAAACAGGCTGCCTCAAGCCCTAGCCCTCTAGACTTTGAACTGTTCCGCGGAACATCTTCGTCCTAGACCATACCCGCTGAAACCTCAAACTCCCGCACACTTAGCCCTCAACCCCTAAATGCTAGATCCTAAACCCTTGGACCAGAAGCCCTAAACCCCCGGACTCCTGAACCCTAATCCTAAAATCCTGAACCCTCAACCTCACGGCCTCGGAACCCTAAACCCTGAACCCCAAACCCTTCAACATGAGCACCCGGAACCCTGAAAAATCCCCGGCGGGAGCCTCCAACCACTCGGCGGAAGGGTCTGACTTGGCCTTAAGGAGTTTAGGGTTCAGGGTTTAGGGATTCAAGGTTCAGGGTTTAGGGTTGACAGTTCCGGGCTTACAGCTCTAAAGCTCTGTTAGAGTAGTGCCAACTATGAAGACGACGATCATGCATAGTAGGAGACTTTGAGTAACCCCAACCCCTATATTCAGAACTTTGTCAGAGTCAGACAATAGTCGTCGCGTTCTTTCTCTGGTTGTTCAAGTAGCTAGAACCCTTTCAAACCCTTAAATGCCAAACCCTCAAGCGTAAACCTAAGCCCTTACACCGTTGAACCCTAAGCCCGCGACCCTCAACCCTGAACCCTCGAGCCTTAACCCTAAACCCTGAACCAAAGCAACAACAAAAAGCTTCAGAGACCCTCTGCAGAGGTTCACCTGACTTCATGGTACATCCCGTCAAGCTGTGGGGCCTTGCGGTATATGATATACTGAAACAAAAAACCTAACGTTGTGCACAAGGGTTATAAGGACGTATATGGCCCCCCAAAAGTAGATAGCATATGGGGTATATGGGGATCGTATGATGATACATTGGGCAATGCCAGGTTGTACAGGCACACTACTCGCAAGTAGTCTGGGCTCCTACATTCCCTGGATGCCAGAAACTGTCAGCCAAAACCCTCAACCGTAAATCCAAACCCCTGAATCATAATCACTAAATCTTGACCTCTGAGATTCAAATCCTTAAGGGCACACTTTGTTTGGTCCCTATAAGCCTTTTTGTACGATCCCACTTCACATGTTTTTTGCTTGTGCACTTGATTCGCCAGTATTCCACCCATGTAAAGGGCTGTGCCCGGGTAATTAGCGTAGAGCCGTGCAGTACATGGGTAGGGGGATTGGAGGAACGGACACCCAACAATGCTGATGATGCTGGAGGGGAGTTTAGCGTCGTCAACATCATTGGGGCTCCGCTTCTCCAATTTGAGGCTTTCCGAAATTTTCCCCAAACCCTGAACCCTGGAAAGTTTACTGGCCCAGATTCGGATGGGCCCCAGGCTAGTTTTCAAAAACGTCCCCGCGGGGGTGGGGGACCCCAAAAGTCCCTTCCAAATGCGTCTGTGGCGGGGGGGAAGCGTCATGGCATATGCGAGTTTGATTTTGCTTGCAAGGTGAGGTTTGGGGTGGTTAGAAACGGAGGTCCGCTGATGCAGGGTCGGCGGCACGTCCAGGCTATGCCGAAAACACAGCTACGGACGCCCAATTTAGACCCCTACTACAACTCTATACGCCATCACTTTCTTGAGTGAACCCATGAAAAACTTTGTTTTTCTCATTGGTATTCAGGCGTCTGCAGTACCGCGTCTTTTGCATGTCGGACAGGCGGAAAAAGGCTGATTCAAAACAACAAGATCCGCTGAAATTCAGCCCCTACGTTAAAAGCTATGTGATGCAAAGCGGCGCCAAGAACGGTTTATGCGGAATGCATGTAGTATAACAGGATGTTGGAGACCCCAACACCGAAAATTAGGACCCTGTCTATGAAACGGTCCAACTTTTGAGGGCTGGGGGTGCCGAAATCTTCTTCTTACCTAGTAGAACTCACTAAAAAACTCCAACTTCCATATGCATTTCCAATTTCCTTTCCATTTGATGCTCCATCATGGTGAGCCCTATATATCCCCCCAAAAGGATCCTTTCTGCAACTATGCGAGGGAGCCCCCGTGGGAGTTTCTCAAAAAAGTAAAGGGGCGGCCCCGTAGGGCTCCCTGGGCAATATGTTAGGTGGACACCTCACCCAGTAATACTGACTATAATGGATAATAAAAACTATATTAGTGTCCTCTCATAATCCCAGTATACCACTGTTACAGGGTGGGGGGTTCCTCCTGAGGAATATACTCGGGATTGTTTTGAAAACTCCTACATGTACCTTCGAGTCACTCCCCCGGCCCCCAAGCTCTATAGACCTTTAGCCCCACATCCTAAGCCCCAAAAGCATCCGCAAAACCCCGAAAACTGGTTACTTCTCAGGTTTCTGTGGAGCTTACCACCTGAAAGTTCTTTTTGCCTTTTACATGATAAGAACTACTTTGAACAAGCTCAGCACAAGCTTGCCCAAACCCTCACCGGAGTGTAGGGTTTAGGATTTAGGGTTTAAGGGTTGGAGCTTTTAGGATTTGGGGTTATTTGGGGTTTGGGGCTTAAGGTAAGCCTTCCAAGGCTCCCTTCCACGGCCCAGTGCATACAAAATGAGGATAATGGTTTACGTGCCCCACGTAGTCAAGGGGATACAGTGCTCATAACCCTAAGCCCTACCACCCTACGCCCAAAACCCAAAGCAATACTTCGAACCCTAAGCTCTAAATAACATATACTATACTCGTTTCCATGTTCTTTTCCATTATCTCTATATAGTCCCAATGTATACCCTAGTATACGTAACTGTTATACTCGTTTCCATTTTCTTTCCTATTGTTAAGTAGAGTAGTGTTTTTTGGTGGTTGAACCTAGTAAGATAATATTCCTTATATAGAACACTATACCCCAAAAGGAGGACATAATCTTACTCTATCATGGGTACCATAGTATCCCGAAATAAAATACCACTCATGTTGCCCCCCTAAACCCTAAACCCTAAACCCTAAACCCCTAAACCCCAAACCCTAAACCCTAAACAAGTAGGGTTTTGGGCGAACGAAACTGCTGCAGTGAGGCGGCTGGACTCTGGCACCCAACAGCTTTGGCAGCCTGTCAGGGAGCCAAATACCCTTTAATCAAGGTATATAAGGTTTTAGGGTTTTAGGGTTTAGGGTTTAATTAGGGTCTTAGGGTTTAGGGGTTAATTAGGGTTTTAGGGTTTAGGGTTTAATTAGGGTTCTAAGGTTTTAGGGTTTAGGGTTAATTAGGGTTTTAGGGTTTAGGGTTTAGGGAATATACCCTAGATGGTACTAGGGCCCCTACTATGATTTAAGCTATATTCCTTAATTAAGGGGTATCGGGCTCCATGGGCTGTAGCCACCAGAAGTGGCTTCGGGCTTCGGTTGTAGGATTTATGGCTTAGGGTGCAGGATTCAGGGCTTAGGGCGGAGGGCTTAAGGTGTAGGGTGGAGGGTTTAGGGTGTGGGGCTGAGGGTTTAGGATTTAGGGGTGTAAGGTTTAGGGTTTAGGAGCTTAGACAACGGTACCTGCCCCCAAACTAACATGGAAGCCAAAAGAGCAGTTTAAAACGAATATGGGCCCTTGGACGAAAGTAATAACATATTCCTTCACAGTTAACAAGTCCCCTGTATACCCCCTATATATCATATGGAACTGCATATTATTTGGAGGAAGATACGCTTTGGGGTTGAGGCTTCAGGATTCGTGATTAAATTATGTTGGGAGTATATGGGACTATACAGGGGCCTTGTGAATTCTCTGAAAGTGAGGCAGGTTGGAGGAACTTACGTCCAAAGTTCCATCTATGAACGTTGTTTACGTCTCCGCGGAATGGAAGGCTGACAGAATCAGACGTACTCGGCTTATCATTCCTCTCAGCTCACATGAACCTAGGAAGAAAAAGGATCCCTTTTTACACAAATCTATGGAATCCCATACCCCAAAAAGTATAAAGGATCCCGAACATTGATCCAGCCCTGTCCCAAGGAGTGTAGACCCTAAAATATCAACTCGCTAGACCGCATGGCATGGTCCGATGCAAGACCCTCCTTTTGAAAATTAGATCCCTAAGAGAACATGAAGCGAAATACTGTGGATGGAGCAAATCTTGCACCACCTTATAAAGCCCCCATAATGGTAATTGCGGGACTTTGGGGATCTTAAGTGGTGCAAGATGTCCTCCATCCACGGTATGTAACTAACTACATATTGGGTTCAAACCATGAACCTTAAACCCTAAAAAGTGCATCGGCCCAAAAAGTTTAAAATTCTTCTATTGGCTAAGTAAGTAGACCCTAAACCCTAACCCCTAAACCCCTAAACCCTTAAACCCTCAACCCTTCAACCCTAAACCCTAAGCCCTTAATCCCTGAACCCTAAAACCCTTCAACCACAAACCCTAAAACCCTTAAACCCTAAATCCTAAAACCCTAAACCCTAAAACCCTTAAACCCTAAGCCCCTAATCCCTACAGCCCTAAAACCTAAACCCTCTTCGCGCGGCAAAGTCGCTGGTCGTCCACGGAGTCTTGGTCCTCATTTTCGCTGCCTGGGCTCCCCAGGAAGTCCACAAGGATTTGAGGTTTAGGGTTTAGGGTAGGGTTTAGGGTTCAGGGTTTGGGGTTTAGGATTCAGGGTTTGGGGTTAAGGATTTAGGGTCTAGGGATTAGGGTTTAGGGTTTGGGGTTTAGGGTTTAGGATTTGGGGCTTTTGTAGCAGTTGGGGTAGTAGGGTTAAGGGTTGTGCCCAAGCACCTACCGTTTTGTAGCAACTGCCCTTAATTAAAAAGGCATAACCCATGAAGCTGTAGGTATTTGGGGTTGCAGCTAGGGCTTAGGCAAAAATTTAACGTGAATCTAGGATCTAGAGTCGAAGGCTTGGGCTTGTGGATTTTGGGCTTGGGGCCTAATTTCACTGGATCTACAATTAAGGGGTATATATAAGATGCAATTCAAAAATCCTTGAGGGGGGTTATATATAGGGTGGCGTTGCGTGTTCAGGATTTGGGAAATCGGGGGGAACGACTGTTTCCCCCAATGCGTGCGATTCACAAGGAATCCAAATTCCAGGCCCAGTATGATATTTCAACTTCGTGAACCCCATCAAGCCGATGTTGTACTAGGGCTCTTATTGTATGCCCAAAGTTCAGGAAAGCCAAGCATTTTGATTGCAAAACAGGAATGCGGGCATTTCTGAGCCCGAGGCCACAAATTCTAAACCCCTGAGAACCGCATGGAAATTGAGAAAAAAAACAGTATGAAACTTACGATTGTAAAAATGTGAATAGTGCACTGAGGCCGCAAATCAAACAAGTGCTTGCGGTACACCATGGTACAGCCATGAAAGGCTCCATAGGAGCAGATGTCCAGGCAATAGGTTCAAATTAGATTGAAAAACCCTCATCCGCCAAAACTTCTAAGATTCATGTTCGAAACTTACCATAATCCCTGCACCCTAACCCCAAACCCCAACCCATCATTCCCTATTCTAAACCCTTAGCCCTAAACCCTGAAATCAGCAAGGTGCTTTCGTCGTCTCCGTAGATCGTGCTTCCCGCGGCCAAGCTAATCGATGGCTGCGACAGCACGTGGTCCACCCTGGAAGCAAGAATGGGGCTTACTGCTTAGGACTTTGGAGACGTGGGGGCCTGGCGATTGTGATGTGAGTGTTCAGGCTTTCAGGGCCAAGGAGTTAGGATTGTAGGTGCGCAGCCCGAAACCTTAACACGCTCAGGACTTGTGGGTTTGGGTGTTCTTCTGCTGCATGCTTGTGCCTTTAAGGTTGGAGGTGCGCATTTACGGTCCAAGTCAGACCCTGGGAGGAGCAAGAAAGTAGATCCTTTTTCAGATTTCATAGAAATCACCCAATGGTAGTACAGTGTATCATATTGGGAGGTTCTGCTTTCTAGATCCTTCCTCAACCAAAACCGATGTACATCCCTATGGCCCAACCTAAAGTAAATCCTGAATCCCTAAACTCTAAACCCCTCAAGCCTAAGCCCCGAACGAGCCTTCAGGCCTTTTGGCCTGAAATTTTGGGGCTTTAGATCTAAGTTGCAGGATTGCGGTTTAGGGCTTAGAGCTTAGAGGTTAGGGTTTAGGGTTTACATTTCGCCTAAATGGCAGGGGCAGGAATGTCAGTAACTTGGGTTTAGGGTTTAGGGCGCTTACCTCAAAAAAGAATGTCAGTAAATTGGGTTGAGGCTTTAGGGTTTAAGGCTTATACCCCAGGAATGTCAGTAAATTGGGTTTAGGGTTTAGGGCCCTTACCTCAGGAATGTCAGTAAATTGGGTTTAGGCTTTAGGGTTTTAGGCTTATACCCCAGGAATGTCAGTAAATTGGGTTTAGGGTTTAGGGCTTAGGGCCCCAAACCCTGAACACTAAACCGCAGGAATCCTAATAAAGATGGAACCTCTCTGCCTGTCAGGATGCCTATGGGGCTTTGGGATTCAGGGTTCACGGGTTAAGGGTTTGGGTTGGGGATTAAGGTTTGAGGCTAGGTTTGGGGTTGCGCCTCAGGTTTTGGGGTTCGAAAGCCAATGCGTACTGTCCTTGTGCGCGTGCGGATGGGCTGCCCCAACCCCTAGTTGCTGGCATTGCCAGAGCACGGATGTACTGACAATTACCTAAAAAACCAAATTGCCCACAACAAGCTACAACATCTGAAAGACGAGGAACTGTTCTCCCAAACTGCAATCAACTGGTTGACAGCAGTAAATTCTGGAAGCCTTCTCAATCAACCCCCTTCTGAGTGCCCCTGTTTCTCGAAACCTGCAGAGTGCGGCCAAGAAGCTGATCAATTGACAACGCCTTCACCTCGGCAGGGAGCTCCGTTGTAGGGTTGAATTTAGCGTGTGCCCAAATGACTAGGGTTCAAGGTCTTGAAGGGCTTGGTTGGCATTTAGGGTAATTACTTCGGTTGAGGACAGACGAGATTCAAACTAGCCCAGCAGTCAAAAAAAGGCCGCACGAAGACCAGCATCCAGTTAAGGGGACCATGTCCCTTCCCATGTTCGTTCGGGAGATGGTAAGCGCTAAACCCAGCCAAAAACAAGTGTACTTGACCTGGAACCCTCCTAAGCATATTTTGGATGCGTCTTAGGAGGTCAGAACAAACAAAACTATAATATAGCTGCAGGACATCGATCGTAAACCCCAACAAACCTGCTTTTGAGTTCAGTTCACCAGCGGCGTCTGCACCGAAGAAATCGCAGCAGGCGGCACCAGCGTTGCACGGTGGAGGCTGAAGGAGACGTCCAGCGTCGCGTAGTAATCCTGGGGTTCAAACCCATTAAGACTGCTGTTGGTAGAAACAATCATGTTTGTGAGGCCGGGCAGTGTGGTAGGGGCTTTTTCTGTGGATGGCTGCAAGGATGTGTGCAAAAGATTTCAGAGAGCATTAAAGACTGTGATTCTAGAGCTCATTGGTGGTGCGATACTGGAAGATGAACTCAAGCTTGGATACTAGGCAAACCTATCATGAGTCCTTCGAGGCCCTTTATGTACTTACTCAGGACTATGGAAGTGTGTAGAGCATCTGGAAACTGTGCACAACTCCAAAACACAATCTTCCAGGGTGCTGTCACTGCCTTGTTATGGCGATAGACCACTACCCAGACCCTCACACGGATCAAAAATTTAGATCCCCTAGAACCATAGGGGAAATTCTATACGGATTATATAGGGGTTATAATGGGTCTTTATAAGGGATCTAATTTTTAGATCCTCCCGGGGGTCTGGGTACCCACGGAATCTGTTTCAACTGCCATTGCTGCCTGGCACCTCACTGCAGAATCCCCTTCTGCAACCAGTTCCTGCAACGCGCTCAAAATCAAGCTCTCAACACTCACCTGCCTGACCTGAAGTAAAACTATCTACCACGCGGTTGAGGGTTTTAGGATTTCAGAGTTAAGGGCTTAGGGTTTGGGGCTTATGTATGAAGAGCCCTAAACGCTACACCTTCGACCTGTCCATCAACAGTAAGATCCAGCCAAAGTACCACGTGGCGGTCCAAAGGTCGGTTTATGTCGAAATCCAGCAGCACCTCTGGGTTTAGGGTTGAAGTCCAGTAGATCTTTACGATTTTGGCGTAGGGTTTGGGGTTGAAAGTTTGAAGTTTGAGTTTTAGAGTTAGAGGTTTTCGCAGGGTTTGGGGCTTGGCGTTGTGGGCTTCAGGTTCGAGAGCAGTTGGTGCCCAAGCCATGCAGGCCTTGTCCATCAAACGTGGCACTGCCACTGGGGTCAAATAAGTTGAATTGAAGTTTGGAGCAGGTTGATTTACTTTGCTTCACCTCACCTTCATAACTGTAGATTACTTTTTTGTAATCTAAACTCGTAGTATCCCCCTTAACAACCCCTATAGTAATTCCCTACATAATCCAGGGTGCTGAAAAAATGGTACCGGTAGCTTTTGACAACTGTACACTGTACACAACACCCACGAAGAGCACGCCTGAACCTTGGCCCCACCGCCCACCCAACCCCTAAGCCTAACCACAACATGAAGTGACATGTCTGGGTCTAGAATATGGCTTGCATGTCCGACCGATACCCTACAATACCCTAAAGGGGCCCTTCCGATCTCTCTAAAAAGGAAACGGACCGATGTTTTACCGCCCCCAAACGAACATGGAAGCTCAAAACGCTCCCTACAAAAACTAGTGACTAGTGTCACTTTGAATCATTGAAATAAGCCTAAACGGATCTCGATGTTACTGTCGTGGAACAACCCCTAAAATCCTAAGCTCTATCCGCTTATTGCCAAAGCCTTCAACTCTAAACCCTTCAACTCTAAACCTAACCTCTGAACCCTAAACCCCTAAATCCTAAACCTAACCTCTGACCTCTAAACCCTTACATGCAACATGTTTGGTAGCCCTTGTAAGCCCGTATACCCCGGACATGTTAAACACCCTGAGCCCGAAACCCTAAACCCCAGCCCTAAACCCTAAATAGTAGTTTCCATGTTCTTTTCCATTGTCCCCTGTATAGCCCCTAACCCTAGACCAGTCCCACAGGCAGCTGTGGACTGCGCGGTAAGCCCGGCAGGCCGCTGGCGAGTCCGTCAGGTCGCCTTTAGAACGAGGAATCCCAGACCTTGGGGCGGACCGCACGATCCTCCAAATCGTTCTTGTCAGATGGGCCTCCGAAGGCCCCTGCCAGTGAATCGCGGGAGTAGGAGGTCGAAAAACTTCCCAACCACCAAAAATCTGGCAGGGCCTCCTCAGGCCTCCAAGGCCTCCCATGGCCTAGCGCCTCGCGGGGCCTCCTAGAACAGTTTCAGGCTTCTTCCCTGGAAGCCTTCGAACCTTGAACCAGGCGGACCTGTCCAGACTAGACGGGTGCCAGGTTTGGGTTTGGGACTGGCTCGAGGCCTTTAGTTTAGTTTCTTCAGATGTCTGGGCAGGTCGGTGCGTCCAGAGCAAGTCGGCGCAAGGTTTGGGCTAGGTGTCTGGCTTGAGGCCCCTAGTTTTCTTCAGATGGAGCCCTGGCTGGATGCCTCCAATCCTGAACAAATGAACCTGTCTAAGCCAGATAGAGCCTTCGCTTCACGTCGTCCAGCACGGAGGCCTTTAGGGGCGAGGCCTCCAGTTTTCTTCAGATGCGAGGGTTTGAAGGGGAAGGTCTCGAGCCAGACAAGCCCAAACCTTGCTTTGTTCAGGATTGGAAGCATCCAGTTAGGGCACCGTCCGAAGAAAACTAGACGCTTCGAGCCGGACTCAAACCCCAACCTGGCACCCGTCTAGTCTGGAGAAGTCCACCTGGTTCAAGGCTCGAGGGCCTCCAGGCACATGAACTCTGGAGCCAGCCAGCCCAAACCGCGCACACACCTGGTCTAAACAGGTGTCCGGGCAAGGCCCAATCGCGAAATAGACAGGTGCAAAGAGCAAATAAGAAGACAGGAGCTCGATCAGAGTTCGAGAGAGCCCTAAACCCGTAAAGGTCGAGGCAAGGGTGGAGCGCCAGCGTGGGTGGGCTCGTGCGGGTCCGGGTGCGCGCCTGGGTGTTTCCAGCACCAGCGCGCCCCCTTACTGAGACACCCTAAACCCTAGACCCTAAACCCTTAACTCTAGACCCTAAGCCACTAAACCCTAGACCCTAAACCACTAAACCCGAGACCCTAAATCCTAAACCCTTAACCCTAAACCCTAAACCCCTGGCGCCTGGCTGTTTAACAGCAGCTGCAGGCGACCTTGCCAAGTGTAGCGGCACTCCAATACGTCCTTCAGGCTAAGGGGGTCTGATGGGGTTTAGGGTTTAGGGTTTAGGAATTATGGTTTAGAGTTTAGGGTCTAGGGTTCAGGGTTGGGGGTTGAGGTAGTAGCCCGAGGCCTTAACTCGTAAACCCCGCCCCCAAACCTGCAAAAAACACACGGAGGCCCTAAATCCTGACCCGAAATATAAACCTGGTATGTGACAACAAGTATACTTGACAACGCTTTCCATTTTCCAGGTAAGGCCCAAAACCCAAAACCCTAAGCCCTAAAACCTTCGGTCCCCATTCACAGGCAGCGCTGGGGGTTGCCGCTGGTGTCGTGGAACGTCCGGCTGCAGGCCTCATGTAGAGTTTAGGTTTTAGGGTTTAGGGTTTAGGGTTGAGGGTAGGGGCCTGAAAAATTCGAGCAGGGTTTGGGTGGTCCCTTGATAGGAGGTTCAGGGGTGAGGCGCCAAAATGATTAGAATGGTGAAGAATCAAATCAAGTGGCAAAGACATCGAAATTGCGATGGGGACCGGCTATTTGCTTGAGGTTGAAAAGGATTGCAGGGTTTGGAGCCTAAATAGCTAGAATAGGCTCTGGGTGGGTATATTGTGCCACACGTATGTGGAACCATAAAGGGATAAGATTACCATTTTGTCAAGCATCTACATGAGGATTCACGGTCTAGATTCAAGTTTCAGATTTTAGAGATTGAGTACCCTAAACCCTAAACCGTAAACCCTTGGAATTTGAGGTTCGGGCTTTCTGAGATTTTCGGGCTGGCTTTTGGAGTTTAGGGCCTCGGGGTCTACAATCCAGGGGTGTAGGAGGTTCACAGTTGAGGGTGTCAGAGTTCAGGTCGAAGGCTTTGGGGAGCAAATGTGCATTTCTTATAATGCCATTTTACGTGTGGGATCAGCTGAATGCCATAAGTGGCTAAACTTAGGGGTATAAAAGTGGGATAGCTTCTGTTATCAATAGTTATGACCTCTTTGGAAATCTTATGTGCCCGATGTTTGCGTACACCCTAAACCCTAAACCCTAAATCCTAAACCCTAAACCCTAAACCCTAAACCCAGTTTGCAACAGGCGTCCCCTACGCCACCTATGGCTCTTGATGCTAGCTTTCTATGAACAATTACATACCGTTGCTGTACAAAACCATGTGAGCTATAGTCTAAACTCCTAGTATCCCCCTTGATAACCCCTATAGTAGTCCCCTGTATAATCCCCTATATATCCTCCTTTAAGGAGTTCAGACCCTGGTTCATGTGGGCTGAGGGCTTATGAAGATGAAACCTAGGATGTGTGCTGGAATGGGATGACCCTACGTGCCCAGGGTCATGGCCCTAAACCCTATAAACCCTAAACCCTCCTAGTTCAAGGACAGCACAAAACATCGAATTCCTAGCATCTATGAAGAAACCTGGAGTTGACCAGGATGGGATAATTCAAGCAGCCCAGGGTTTAGGGTTACGGGGTTTAGGGTTGAGGGTTTAGGGGATTGGGTGTAGGGTAAAAGGTTTAGAGTTCAGGAATTAAGGGGCAGGGTGAGTGGGAAAACACTGTATAGAGCGCAGGGTGTAAGTTTGCATGGTTGAAGTTTACGGTTGGGAG